TGTAGATGTGAACTTCCATACAAGTTGTACATCAGCACTGGGTCCAAATCTGGTTTTCATCCTTATGTAGTAAATGCTTTTCCCACTGAGTCATCTCCACAGCTCTACCCTCTGAGCCATCTCCACAGCTCTACCCACTGAGCCATCTCCACAGCTCTACCCACTGAGCCATCTCCACAGCTCTACCCACTGAGCCATCTCCACAACTCTACCCTCTGAGCCATCTCCACAACTCTACCCTCTGAGCCATCTCCACAGCTCTACCCACTGAGCTATGTCTCCAGCTCCACCTTCTATTTTGAGACTGGGTCTCTTATAGGGACCTGGAGCTCACTAACTAGGTAGGTTGGCTGGGCAGGGAGCTGGGACATGCCTGCACCTCTTCACTGTTGCTGGGACTAGAGGCTGACACCACTGTATCCCACATTTTAGGGTTAGGAGATTGAGTTCATATGCTTGTATCCTAAGGACTGTACTGTGTGAGCCATCTCCCCAGCCTGCTCCAAAGTTTTAACAAGGAAAAGCCATTGTGTTTATGGTGGCTTTTTGTTGTTTTTGCTGCTTTGAGTCAAGTCCAGTTTGGCCTGGACTTCATAGCAATCCTGTCTTAGCTGCTCAGTCATGAGCCACCACACCTGAATTCCCTAGGGGTTCTTATGATACTTCCCAGTTCCTCTCTACAGAAGAGTGGTCAGGTATGGATCAGATACTGTAGCAAAAGCATAGGCCTTAATGCTTGGTTAGACTCAAGGATGTGGACCCTCTTAAGATGACTACAGAACCAACCAGCTGGGGAAGAACGAGCCTCTAAGAGTCCTTGGCAGTAGGAAACAAGAAACCCAACTTAAAGGGTGGAGGGAGCCTCGCCTTACAGCAGGTGTCTGGCTTTGGGTGATTAAGATCCTGATGTATTAGACTGGAATCCATGAAACACAGAAAAGCTGCAGAAGAGCTGCATTTTAGCTGAGGTTGTCTTTCTGCACTACAGAGGATGGAGAAGCTCAAATCTTGCTGTTGGGAGTGTTCATGGGATTACCCAGCTTTCTCCGCTAAATAAATTAGCACATATTTATTATAGATCATATAGACAACTGTATACAAGACTGTATACACACATGTGCACACACATTCAGACACATACGTGCACACACACATACAAACACAAACCCACACATGCACATACATGCATACGTGCACATACCTACACATATAGACACACACGTGCACATGCACACACACACATGTGCACGCGCGCACGCGCGCGCGCGCGCGCGCGCACACACACACACCACCCCTAGAAGAAATTTCTGGAAGGAAGTGTTTTTTAAAAAATAGGTTTTCAATATCTTTAATACACTCAAGTATCTCTGAATTGAATTATTTATTACTTGATCATTGGGCTGTTTGGGTCATTTTCAACTATTTTGCTACAAGTTTGAACGCAGTTTTCATCTTTCTGCTTCTGTCTGTTTATTTGGATAGAATCCTAAAACTAGAAATACTGGGTCAAAGAGCAGGAACATTTTTCGCTGTCTTGTTACATACTGCCAAAATGCTTTTCAGAAAGGTCCCAGATGTATAAAACTCCTAGGACCTTCCACCCCCACCCGCCCAAGGGAGTGGCATCTGTTTAGAGCTCCGTCTTCTCTGAGCTCAGCTTCCTGGTGCCTCTGTCAACCCTTCAGGGTGTGGTCTCCTTTCTTAAGGCTCTGTTGCGTCTGTCTTTATTAGGATGCAGGCCTATTGAAGTTCACAATTTCTAGGTTTGCATTATCTAGTGGTTGAAGAAATATTTTGAGGTAGGATCCTCTGGGGGCCTCTCATTAGAGGGTACAATGGGCAGCCTTGGACTATCACAAGTGTTTCTCACTCCCTAGCAAATCCTGGTCAGGAATTCCAGTTGAATGGCCAGTTAGCTGCCTGCTTCCTGCTGCTGGTTACCCCAGGCAACCCCAGAAAACTTACTTTCACTAAGTTTCACTTAAAACATTTTTCTTAATTTAATTAATTAATTTATTTTTTAAATTTAAGGCCTCATTATGTAGCCCTGGCTGGCCAAGAATAAACTACATAGCCCAGACTGGCCTTGAACTCACAGAGATCTGCCTGGTTCTGTCTCCCAGCTCCTTGGATTAAAGGCATGTGCCATTTTTCATGCTAATGAAATCTATAGCTTAATTTCATTTATAGCAATGCTTAGACTTTAAGTTCTACCCAGGACATCTGAACCTTTGTGCCATTTTCTGCTTAGGGAGGAGGGCTGCTGCTCTGTAGCCTGAGATTGAGGTGTAGGTTTCCTCGAGGGGTTGGGGGCGGTGGAAGTGAGTGGAGATCGGTCAAAGGTTTAAAACACATAAAATAAGAAACAAATCTGAGCATTCACCCTCACCCATCACCATTATACATTTCAAACTAACAACAGTTCTCAAGTAGTGAGTACTTCAGTGCATGGAAGACCGACATAGTGTAGGCCCGTGTCATGCAGGCCTTCAATCCCAACAGAGGCAGGGGAATCTCAGTGAATTAGATAACAGCATGCTTTTCATAGTGAGTTTCAGCCCAGCCAAGTCTACACAGTGAGACCCTCTCTTAAAAAAGGTCTAATGATGGTAAGATGAATTGATTATCAGTTACAAAGCTGTTTAGAGAGTAGTTGTATAATAGGTCTCAATGATGCTAAATAATCACATAGCCCGTGTTCTAGTCACATTACCCTTAAAAAAGGATCTATTTGCTTTTGCTTTGTGTACATTAGAGTGTGTTTTGTCTGCATGTATGTATGCACTGTGCGGTGCCGGGTGCCAAGACAGTTGGGAACTGCCCTGTCAGTGTTGGAAAGCAAGAACAGCAAGCAGGAGGTGAAGGCCCAAGAGGCTGTGAACGCCTGGGAAAATACGTGGCCTGCTCAAGGAGCAGGGATCTTGAGTCGAAAGACAAAGCCACCGAGCATGGAAAGGTACAGAACCTTGGAGTGAGGACAGGAGAGACAGCCACCCACAAACGCCAACATAGCTCTAGAAGCAGAAACCCCAGAGGCCACAGGCTACTCCGGTGAAACTTCTTCCAGTTTTCATCTGAAATAGGCTCTCACCGTGCAGCCATGGCTTGCCTAATGCAGACTGGTCTCTAACTCTTGATGATCCTCCTGCCTCAGCCTCCCTAGCGCTAGGATTACATGCCTGTGCCACCACACTCTGCTATCCAGTGTAACGCCCAAGAGAACACACTCAGCTTCCCCGGGTGAACCAAGCTGACTGGCTTGGAGCAAGCTGGGCAGCAGGGTGTCCAAGAATACTGGCTTTCGAAGTTCTCCTTTTTAGCCTGCAGGATTTACCGGTTCCTGCTTCTCCCTCAAGACAGAGGTGGGAGACAGGCTTCTTTCTCCAGAACACTTCTTCTGTTGAGGGACTGCCCATGCGCATGGATCCATAGTGTGAGACTTCCATGCACCAGAAGGAAAGATCTGAAGCAGAGCTTTGCACACAACAGCAGGAATAAAGTGAGGAGGAAGGAGGGGGTTCCCAGATGCCTAAGGCAGCTGAGTCACACAGCTCATCAAGACTGAGGGAGGCAGGCAGTGCCTCCACACTAGGACATGGAAATGTTGTTAGATCCATTCCACGTGTTCATCAATGCTGTTTGTAATGATTTCTGAGCATTAATGTATGGATTATAATATGATGTACTTAATCATTTCTCTAGTGCTAAACAAGTGAGTCCAGAGTGTGTGCTGGGGCGACTCCTGAAAGCATCTCCTAACACTTGGCTTCTTTATTTCTCTGAGCTTAAACTTGCTCCACTTTGAGACTGGCACTGGGGAACACCTCTAGAGTAGGTGACGCCACTTTGTGCAGGGTGCCCCTCCTCTACCCCTCCATGGCCCTCACATCTGCTACCCAGTTAACTTCCTTTTCAAAACCTCATCTTCCTACTTTGGATCCGTTTCTCACCTCCTCTTCCGCTTCCTTTTTTTTTTTTTTTTGCTATGGTGGCCTGTTCTTAGCTGTTTGTCTATCTACTTTATTCGTCTGATCCCTGCATTCCTTGTGAGTAGCCAAGAGATATCCAGAAGTCCGCAGCTTCTGTCCCTCTTTGGAATTGGCCAGCACATGCCTGAACCATGGGGTTCACTGGAATCTTTCTGTAGTGTGTGTGTGTGTGCACACGCATGTATGCGTGTATGTGGCCCTTGTTTCTTGGTGCACTACAGGCTCATTGGAATGTTAGAGAACAAACCACCCCACCATCTATCACTTTTAGAGCAAGCCTGACCTGGAAATGTGTCCCCTTCCTTCCTGGGATTTTGTCCCCACTGGGCTTAGAACGTTCGATAGTAGTTTCTCTGAGTCTGTGTTGGATCAGCGGGCGCTTTCATCAGCCACCTCAAACTTTTGCTTGGCTGCAGGACTGGAGCCATTGTAAGTCCTGCTCTGTTGAAGTGAGTCAGAGATCAGTGGTTGGATGTTATCTGGCGTTGGAAGTCTGAAGGTGATAATATAGCTTCTATCCTGCTTCCTCACAGCCTGTGAGTCCAGATCAGGTGTCTTGGCTGTTTCTCTCCTCTGAGAGCTCTGGGCTCTTCCCCTTTCCTGTACGCTCCCAGAGTGCATTCTGGAGAGATGAAGTAGCCAGGACGTGTGGCTATTCTCACATTGCCAGAAGCGCTGTTCAGGAGTCAGGGAAGGTGCTCCAGGCTTAGGATTCGGGATTGCTACTTTCTGTTCATTCCCAGCATGCAACTGAGATGAGTCAAGCCAGGTGAGGCTTATCCAGGTCCTGAGATAAAGCTTACTTCAATCCTCTTCCTCACTAGCCCTCTTCCCCCTCCCACACAGGCTGATATGAGCAGAGCCCAGGATTATGCTGATCTGCAAAATCAAACTTGAAGGCATTTGGTAGCTGTAGGAGTTGGCTCAGGTTGTCATGGCAAAGTACCACAGCCTTGGAGCTTGAATAATGGAAATTTATTTGCTTATGATCTGGAGGCCAGAAGAACAAGATCAGGGATGAGTGAGGCCTTTCTCCTTCGCTAGAAGATGGGTTCTCCAGGAACCGATTGCAGTAGCATCTAATCCCTGGACACTCCAGATTCATTATGTCTGAATTCCTGGATGTGTTTTGTTGTTGTTTGTTTTGTTTTCTTTTGTTTGAAGGTATCTTCCGAGAGAGTGTCTCCATGTGTGAAGTGATTTACCATCGCTTCCTGAGGCTTCCTAAAGAGTAGTAGCCAGGAAGTGTTTCTTGTACACCTTCAGCTTAACTCACAGAAAAAAAAATCCTATAAGGTGCGGTACCATGATTATTCTCACTTCACAGGCATGGAAGCTGGGGTGGCAGAAAGATTAAGAAGTAATTAGTGATGACACAGAATACTGACTAAGTTGAGCCTCTTCATACATGAGCACATGCTTAGTGCACAATGAAGCTTATATCCCCGAGGTCACTATGCTCAGCACACAGTAGGGCCTTAGGAAAATTAGCTGAGTCCATTCTAATGGGTTTTGATGACTGTTCAGAATTGGTAGAAGTTTCCAGGGTTCAGTGGGGTTAGATATTTGGTGCTCAGGGAAGAAAGCTGGTGTCAAGGAGCCTAGCATGTCACAGAGGTGAGTCAAACCAGGGACAGGTGAGGCTCCTTCAGGCCCTTAGACAGAGCCTGCTTTCCCCTCCTTCTCACTGGTCTCTCCCTCCTGTGGTGCAGGGTGATGTGAGCAGAGCCCAGGAATGCCTTATGTGGACCGGCAAAACCGAATCTGTGGGTTTCTGGATATTGAAGACAATGAGAACAGTGGCAAATTCCTCCGGAGATACTTTATCCTGGATACCCAGGCCAACTACCTTCTCTGGTACATGGACAATCCCCAGGTGAGAAGCCAGATGGAAGGGGACAGGGTGACTGTCCTATCCTTTGTCACAGCTGGGAGGAGAGCAGGGCTTGGGTCTCTCTCAAGGAACCTCTGTAAGGAGTGGGAGACCCTCCAACACACACCAACATGCATGTCTATGAAGAGAACTTCTCCAAAGCTGGGGGTGTTGCTCAGTAGTGAGTGTGCTTAGCAGGTACAAGAATCTTGATTTAATCCAAAGCAGGGCGGGTTAGATTAGGGGAAAGAAGAGAGAGGGAGAGGAGAGTCGAGGAGCAGATCTGGGGGAGACAGTCTCTAGATCTGGGGGAGACAGTCTCTTAGCTCTAGATCTGTGTTTTTCTTGTACTCGGGAATTTAATACTTGGGAAAAGTCAGGCAGAGCCTTCCAGATCTGGCTCGCTTCCTCTCACCTCTCAGGGCTGTGGCCTGATGACTGCTCCTGCTCTTCCAGTCTGGGGCCCCTCCCTAGCAGAGAATGTGATCTGGTTCCCTGAGCCGGACAATATTGGACTTCTTTAGTCTCCTGAATCAGGAAGTCATGGAGTTTTCGGTTGGCAATGACCTTCTAGGTCACCTGGTATAGCTTCCTCATGCTGCAGAGGAGTCCTGGACATTGTAATCTACCCCTAGGCAAGGAGAAGTGACTGCCTTAGTATCTTGTAGAGACCAGTCACAAAGATGAAAAACTGAGGAACCAAGTTCTCTCTCTCTGTCCCTTCCTCCCCACTCTCTTTCTTTTTTGAGACAGTTCCTGCCTGTCCTGGAGCTCACTCTCTAGATCAGGCTGGCCTCCACCTCACAGAGATCTGCCTTCCTCTGCCTCCAGAGCCTTAGGATCAAAGCTGTGTGCCACCATGCCCATCCTGCCCAGTTTTCTTGCTATGCCTTGGCAGAGGTGGGGGTTTGGTGACTGGAAATGATTATTCTTTGGGAACTTGGAACTTTTTCTTTTTCCACCGAGTGCTGTCATGTTCTTCCTTCCAACTGGTCCACTGTAGTTTCATGGTGTGGTGAGGCTGTGAAGAACGGCATGTACCTGAACCGCATAGTCACAGAACATGACTATATATGGATAGACATGAATGTTGGGGGAGGGGCTTGGGTCTGTTCAAAGGCTGAAGAGGATAGCCTTAGTGTTAGGGACTGGGTATGTGCTTTAAGCTGTGACCCGGAGGCTTGACAAGATAGCCCAGTAGGTGAAAGTGATTATTCTTAAGCTCGTGACCTGAGTTAAATCCTCAAGGCCCACATGAGGGAAGGAGAGACATAACTCTGGTAAGTTGATATCTGACTGCCACATGCTTTGTACACGTTTGTAAACATCCCCACCCATGGTCCCCCACCACATGAATGCAAACAAAACGAATGTGTTTTAAAAAGACGGGTTGTAGGAAAAGCCATGTGAATCCTCTGGTCATTACCTACACACTAACCTGTTGCGGGTCTTCGTGTTTGAGAGCTGAATGAAAACATTATAGACGCAGAAAACATGTAGAGAGGGTCGTGTGCCATGGACTGCCTGCTCCAGGAAGAACGGGACCCTCCAAAACACCATGCGCACATCTTACCCCATATCTCCAATAAGGCAGCCGTGGACTTTCACTTAGTGCTGAACAACTGGATTTATCGACCCTTCGTACAGAGAGGCTGCTGTGTCCCCTGGCTGCCTCCCACCATCCTCAAGTCTTGCTCTGCCTTCCTGGCTTGCTTGTCACTTTCTTGACGATTTTCATCCTGATTTACCTTCTTATGCTGTTCCCTGTGTTTGTCCTGTCCTGAACCAAGAGGGGGTCCTGCCCAGCTGCTGGCAAGTTCTGATTTGTACCTATCAACCAACCTGCCTTTTCTTTACATATGTGTATGTGTGTGGTGTGCATGTATATATGTGTATTTGTGTGTGTGTGTTGGAGTGGGGGAAGACATGTCAGTTTGGAAGCCAGATTCTGATGCCACTTTGCCTTGATTGCTCTCCACTTTGTATACTGGGGTAGAGTTTTTTGCTTGAACCCAGGGCTTCCCTGTTTCTGCCTCCAGGGTACTTAATCACAGATAGCCAATACGCATGCCCAGCATTTACACAGGTACTGGGAATCTGAACGTTGGTCCTCAGGTTTGATGGCAAGTGCTTACCCACTGAGCCATACACCCAACTGGACCTTTATTCCAACTCTGAGCCACAGAGAGTCTTGCTGTCAGTCACAGGTCACCCATGACCATGGTGTCCTCATCTTGGGTCTTGAATATTGCCAGTTGTTAGGATCCCCTTATTGTAACCCACCCTCTGACTTGATTGTCTCATGGGCTTAGAACCTGGGCTCATGCCCAGGGCAGCCTTCTTTCCTTTCTGCTGGAGGGATCTCGGGTTGTAATTCTTCCTGGAAGCAGGAGAGCGCAACTGGATGGATCTTGCTATGACAGTGACGGTTCAGAACACTTCTTCAGATCCTGTGTTAGTTACTGGCCATGTTGATGGCCAAGCAACCTTTCCAGATTTGAGAATAGTGTTTTGGTGAAGTGTGGTTACTATGCCATGCCCAACTCTCTGGGCTTTTGTTTCACTCTAGGGGAAAGGGATGGGCATGGAAGTTGTCTCGCCCTCATTCTGGAAGCAAGGGAGGTAGTGTGTGTGTGTGTGTGTGTGTGTGTGTGTGTGTGTGTGTGTATGTGTGTGTGTATGTGTGTGTGTATGTGTGTATATGTGTGTGTATGTGTGTGTATATGTGTGTATGTGTGTGTGTATGTGTGTGTGTATGTGTGTGTTTATGTGTGTGTTTATGTGTGTGTATGTGTGTGTATGTGTGTGTGTGTATGTATGTGTGTGTGTATGTATGTGTGTGTATATGTGTGTGTGTATGTGTGTGTGTATATGTGTGTAAGTGTATGTGTGTGTGTGTATATGTGTATGTGTGTGTTTATGTGTGTGTGTATGTATTTATGTATATGTATGTGTGTGTATGTGTGTGTGTGTGTGGGGGGGGAAGCATGCCCAGTATTAGAAGCCTGACAGTCTGACTCCCGTACCCCTGCCATTGCTACTCACAATGAGTCTGTTATCTTGAGGTGGCTTGTCAAGGTTTCTGGTTAATCGAGAGAAGAGTAGGATACAGCTGGGAGGTTGTAGAGCTCACATGCTCGAGATGAGCGACATGTCTGGGGTTGGATGGACGTGTACTCCACGAATCAGTGAGTGAATAGGAGACTGAGAGGGGCAGTGAATGAAGCTACCAGAGATGCGTCTTAGGGAGGGCAAGGGGGCTTGATGTTGCTCTCCTGGGAGTAGGAACAGAACCCAAGTCCAGGACAAGCTACAGCCTGGGGATGTTGGCCTGTTCTTGTGGAGAGCCACAAGAACAAGAACACAGTTTGAGGACCCTGTAGTATCACCCAGCCTCCACAGTCTGGCCATGGGATGGGATGTCTTTCTTTTATGGGGAAAAGGGGACTCTTGATGTGGTATTATAATGCTTTAGCTAGCATTAACAAATAAGTTTTCAGACCCCATCTCCTGTTTGAATGTCTTGTCTTGATGAGCCTGTCTCAACTCTACCACCGTCGCCTCCCTTGCTGTTGCTACTGACCTCAGCCTCTGTCTCCTGAGGGCTTGCTGTGCACCAGGCATCCTGTGTGGTGCTTTGTGCATCTTAGTAAATCCCCTGACTAATCGTGAGCCCTTGGGACTGAAATTCCTTAGTTCAGTTGAGCAGGCTGCAAATGTGGCTGGATCCTTGATACTCTTCACTTCTGTCTTCTCTCTCTCCTTCTGATAGTTTGCTGGCTCCTGGAGATGGTGGGGAAGGAGAATTGAACAATGTCTCTGCCTCTAGGACGTTTCAAGTTGAGGAGATAGAAATGATGTGCATAACACCTCAAAGCTATAATAATGCTAAGGCATCACGAGTCATCACACCGTTCATTGCTGGGCCCAGCATCTGGATACCAGGGTTTTGGCTGGAGGAGAAGAGGCTGTAGTTTTCCATTTCCACTACTTCTTGAGGAAGACAGAGCACTAGGAGATGGAGTCTCACATGGTCTCAGGTCTGGTAGACAAAAGATCAAGGCTGCAATCTTGGCTCATCTTTTCAGGTCACTGGTGTTTTAAGCAAGTCCTCTGTATTCGGAAGCGTAGTGTTGTTATCTAACATGTATGCACTAAACTTGTCCAATGTGTTAGATGCCTAAGTGTGGAGGCACCACGGTGAGCAAGACTGACTCCCCGACCCCCGGCAGGTAGGGAGACAGATGATCACATAGAATTGGGTAGAGATGGTTAAGAGCCATATGTTCATGGAAGGGGTGGCACTAGATTATCATCTTGTAATTTTCTTAAGCCTTTTTGGAGACAGTATCTTATACTATGTAGCCCAGGTTGGACTTGAACTGGCAAGCCTCTGACTTCCATTTCCTGAGTTTTGGGATGATGGGCATATACCACCCCACCCGACTGTGGCCAGATTGTGGAGCCTGGGCGATATTAGAGGGATCATTGCTATACATTGTTCAGACTTGGGGAACATTTATTTTGACATGTTTTTCTGTACAAAGTCTTATTTAGCTGATGTGTCACTTTGGCCTAATCAGAGTTGAAGAGGAAGGGGAGGCAGCCATTATGGGGACATAGGAGGGCATGTGAGGTTACCTAGCTAAAGGATAGCTTTCAGTTAGGGCTCCCAGAAGAAGTCCTTATGAAGAACAGCCAAGTACCCATACAAAGATTTGTAGACAAATTCTTCATTAAAGAAATGCTTCCTCAGGACATCTTGGAAGTGATGGGGTAGCCTGACTGAGAAAGGAGGAAGCTCCCCAGGGCTGGGTGCTCTGGTGGGAGTCAGAAGGGAAGGCTTAGCCTGGCCTCAAGGGAGCTCTCAGTGAGTTAAGCTTTAGAATTGTCTGGCTCGTATATGTCTGTGCTGACTACTGATGACCACAGCTCTGTAAACATAGTCAGAATGGCTTCTAGAAACCCACGGCCAGTCCCTTAAGCACAGTGAAGGGGATGTG